GTTAGACGGGACTTGTCTTAGTTGTGTGTTGCACCGCGTTTGGTGGAAGAAACAAGAAATTGTGGTCAGATTCAAGCCAATGAAAGTAAATGAGAGAAGAGTGGGTCTCATTCACTAACCGTATTTGTGTGTATGTGAATGTTTTTGCACAGAAATCATAATTCACTAATATCTTAGCACTTCGAGTTTTTTCTACATTTAACATAAAATTTAGAACCAACTAAAACGTTATGTATGTATGTATGTAAAAATCAGTCCTGGTGGCCTTAGAAACATGAAATGGTTTAAGCCGAAAAGTTTATATGGACTAAATTAAATTTGAACAGCTGAGTGACCCAAAAATTATTTAGCATTTAAAAAAGACACATTTTAGATCTGCAATGGGTTCTGCATAAAAATGTGTTGTTATATAAAAGGTCTTTATTTTGTATTTAAAAGCCATTATATGGAGATGGTTAGGCCACTAATTATGCTGACTGCTAACTTTAGGGACGTTTATGTAGAATAATCTGGATTCTGGAAAGATGGTAAGAGCAAATTTACATGCCAACCTGTTGAGAGTAATCAGGTGGAAATTTTGTGTAAGAACCATTTCTGTGCACATAAGAATACAGTTATAAGTGAATGTTGCAAAGTATTAAACTCACATTGAAATGGAAGTAGCGACAGGTATTTTATTCCATATTGTGGTGTACATCTGAGTGAAATGGATATTTGGAAAAGAAAAAAAATGTTAGGTGGTGCCTTGGTTTTATCCACTGCTGTGTTGATTGCAGTCGATTGTAAGAAAGAGGCGGAGTTTATGCACTCTAAATGATTGGAGAAATGAACATACATCATCATAGGGAAGTCTGTCATTTTCAGGTTTTCGTTTTAAGGCAATGGGTTCTGCATAAAAATGTGTTGTTATATAAAAGGTCTTTATTTTGTATTTAAAAGCCATTATATGGAGATGGTTAGGCCACTAATTATGCTGACTGCTAACTTTAGGGACGTTTATGTAGAATAATCTGGATTCATTAACATTAGAAAGATGGTAAGAGCAAATTTACATGCCAACCTGTTGAGAGTAATCAGGTGGAAATTTTGTGTAAGAACCATTTCTGTGCACATAAGAATACAGTTATAAGTGAATGTTGCAAAGTATTAAACTCACATTGAAATGGAAGTAGCGACAGGTATTTTATTCCATATTGTGGTGTACATCTGAGTGAAATGGATATTTGGAAAAGAAAAAAAATGTTAGGTGGTGCCTTGGTTTTATCCACTGCTGTGTTGATTGCAGTCGATTGTAAGAAAGAGGCGGAGTTTATGCACTCTAAATGATTGGAGAAATGAACATACATCATCATAGGGAAGTCTGTCATTTTCAGGTTTTCGTTTTAAGCCGAGCAAGGCCACTTTGGCCATTTCTAGAAATCTTGCTGTGGGTGCCATGAGAGAAAGCTCCATCTGTATTAGATTGAAAGTAATTTTTTCTTTGAAGTTCAAATGAATGGAAATTAAATGGATGAATTTTTGACAGTTGTATCTTTCGGAAAAGAAAAAGGAATGTTTACGTGCAGAAGAAAATACATGAAAGCATCAATTCAATGTTTCTTGGCTCTAACAGTGACAGTGAAACGGTGTAAAGCCACCATTAAGACCTGAACTTTTTGCCCTGTTTTGTTTTTAATTCTACAGTTCTCCTATTTAGCAATGCCAATTTATTGCTTTATTTAAAAACACTAATGTTCTTTTTATTTAATTTAAGTCACATTTAATGCAAGTGCAGATTGCACAATGCACATTTCATGTTAAAAATAAGGAGTGTTTTGAAATCTTCAAACTGTTTGTTCTTCAACATATTGTCCTGCAGAAGACCTTGTTCTCTTCCAAAAGGTTACACTTCATGTAAATTTACACTCCTGAAAATGTGAGGGCATTTATTACCTTATCTATTGTGACTACTACACACAATACCTCTGATTATCCTGTGCTGTGTATTTCATTTGGCCTAATGAATAACGCATATATATATGCATAAAGACACTTCACAGGTTTTCTGAAGCAATAGAGAGATAACAGTGCTTTTCCTTTTTCGTTTGTGTGCCGAACTATGTATATGTCATATTGCATAGAAAGTCATTCTCTTTAACAACAAAAACAGTTATTTTGTCTCATTTTATATACGGCATATGAGGCCAAATTAATCATCTGTTTACCAATTATCAAACCTTTGCAGAAGGCCTATCACATCCCTCACTGACGAAACATACTGTGCTGTAACCAAGAGGCTTTTCAAGGAATTTTCTAGGTTTAAGATTTATAGACAGCATCTGTGTTATGCTATCGGTTACCACATCATCACTTAGTTTGTAAAACAAAAGCAATGTCTTTTAAAATGTAACTCCAACACTGTTGATAGATCTTAAAGTGTATTTAAACCAGAATATTTCTATTACTGATACATAATTGTTGGAAGGTTTAAGATGTGGGGAAGAGATTTTTTCCCCCCTTTTCTTTCTTTAATTTACTGTGCTCATCGGTGTGCCTTGTTTGTACTTTTTCTTATTTATATACATGTTGCCTAATTATGTTAGTGTTTGCTGTGTCAATCAAATACAATCAACCTTACATATTCATGAATTGCTAAAAATTCAATTTCTATAGTCACTTGCTAAAAAGTATGTTTCTTTTTTTCAGATTGAATAGTTTTTGGTTCATGTTGACAACAGCCTCATGTTTTGTATTACACTGAACAGGTTGCCATGTTTTGATGGTCTTTTATGACATTACAGTTAGAAAGGTCTGTGGCCCTATAGAGAGGTGTCTTTTATTGACATTATTATGATATAAGGGAAAAAGAAAACCTAGATGTAGATTTGTTAATTATAGTTGGTGTGTTTAGGTTTGCTGGTTTCTTTTTCTTTTCTTTTTCTCCAGAAAATTTTACATTGAAAGTGATGGCCAGTTTTTACAAATTTGATATTTGATTAAATCATCTTGTGTAGTAACGACCAGTTTTTACATACGTTTCCCCCCCCTAACTTAAGTATTTATGGTGGTGGTATTTTATCTTTCTTTTTGTTTTTGTTTTTTTTGAGGAAACATGACCATTAACATTACATTGTCATTTGCACTTTCATAGACTATACTTGATACATTCCCAGTTTGTATGATGTGTAGCCAATAAACCGAAAGTATTGGTAAAGGTTTGCTCGGATTAAAAAGTTTAAAGTGCAGTCCTGTTTTATTGTGGTTCATGAAAAAACTAATGCAACAAACATGCTTTCTTAAAATTTAATGACATGAAATCCAGTTAAATATTTTTCTTGACAGATTTGTTGACTTATTTTAGTTTAAAATGCTCAATTTCTTCTCTTGTTCTTGTAAGATTTGGTCAAATATATATAAAAGACCAATTATTCACTGTTTTCAAAATGAAGGATATGTATTTGACAGACCATATTTCTTTGAAATGGACATTTATTGTAGAATGTTGGCTGTGATCGCGTTCTCAAGGAAACAAAAAATTACGGTTTAATTCAGAAATAATTTGTCTGCAAACATGCCTCTTGTAAAATCATGCTGTGCTGTTTGCAAAACCAGCTCTCCTTCCATGTGGACAAACCAGGGGGAAATTTTGTGTAACACCTGCACGGGTAAAAGTACAAACAGTGGAGGCTCCAGTGCGTCTGCTTCATCCACCATCCAGCAGAATAATGGCCAAGGAAAACAGGTTTGCAATTTTTTTGTTTTTGTTAAACTTGCTTTCTAACGTCGATTTGTGTAACCTCTCATTTAGACTGCTATTGTCACACTTTTAAGTATAAATAAAGCTAGCCTATCTACACTGTAAATACACGACATCGCTCACTTTGTACAGTTTTGGACGCACTATATATTTTTTGCTCAGAAAATTTTACGCATATACTTTTTAACCACGTTTTAAAGAAATATGATTAAAATATTTGAACACTTGCATGAGACTACAGACATAAGTCTTCTCGTTTTAGTCTACACGGAACGGCTCGCCCGCAACGTTTACATCACCACTGTCAGGGTCAAGCCATTACAACCATATGCAAAACTTGCTAATCTGGTTTCCCCCTTTATTTTATAGTCCAAACAGGAAATCCACAGACGCTCACTGACCGTGGTATAGCACCAAGTAGCTACAAAGCGCCGGCCCAGCATCTGAGAAAAATGTCACAACCAAAGGAAAGAGTAGACGACACATTTTCAATCAGGCTTGTGAATAATTTTTTCTCCCTCCAATATTTACGTGGTTTAATAAAATGTGTCAATGGCTTTTAATCTTCTTTCTCTTCTATCAAAGCACCAGTCTGTATCAACAATTGTCACACATCAGAGTCTAGGTTCTACAAGGTAATCCGGTCCTTTCTACTGTTCAAAAGTGTTTGTTCAAAGTACTTTTCTGTCTGCCACTTTCTATCCAGTAACCTGCACTTCTTGTGATTGGGGTGTCTTTTATCAAATAGGAGATGTCATTAAAGTAGGCCATGAGGATGATGGAAAGTTGTATTACGCACAGATTCATGGTTTTGTACAGGACCAGGGGCCTGTACCATGAAGCCAGATTAGCTGGCTAGCAAGGTAAGTTTCAGTTTTGTTTGCACCAATTTTGGGTTTTAGGTACCATGAAAGTGGCTTGATTTTTAGCTGCGTTCATTGCCATAGTAGCTTACACTGCACAACTAACCTGCTCCAGGCAGGTTATGTTATGATTAAGAGATCTCCAACTGAAATTGGACCAATCAGATGTGAGAAAAGTGACATGTCTGATGCAAAAAAAAGTCACTCCCCCAGTTTTTCTTCCTACAAATTAAAGGTCACTATAAAGTACCTTAAAAAAATGCAACAAAATTGTCTGACTTTAATGATAATTACAATTATTATCCATTAATCCATACACGCAAGCACTTTTAGTTTAACAATTATTATAAAGCATTTATTTTCAATGAATATTAATATATACAGATCATATGCAATATAAATAAGTGGTAGAATGAATAGATAACGCTTTAAAAAATGGCTACATGTGACCTTACATGTTCGAGTCTCTATCGCTATATATTATCAACTATATAAACTAACTTCTCAAGTTTCACTTGTGACTGCACTTATAGAGCAAGATAATTTCCTTTACTTGTCTTGAAGTACTTCAGTCTAAATGTATTTCAATTCCTTATATTCTTTAATCCCTTAAACTTTAACAAAGAGTTTTGAATCTCGCTGGTTCTCTTGCAAGAAGTGAATCACTTACTCTGGGTTGTGTTTGGCTGTTCACCATGATGTCACACATTCATGTGCATGCACCCCACAAACTCAGGATCAAAGCCTGAGTTGACAAAGAAAGTTGATGGTCAACATCATGGTACCAATATAGCCGGATTGGAGTGGTTTGGTTTTGTCAACTCGAAACTAATCCTGTAACTCTGAATTTGTTCATCTACCATCATGGTACAGGGCAGGCCCCAGTACTGTGAGAAAAGCTCTGTGTAAATTAGGTTGATCCCAACTCAGTCCAGTCCTCAAGATCGATTTGATCCAAGCACATTAATTCTTGGTAATGCAGAAACACTTATTTTGTTCCTTGCTGACACATGTGTTGCACTTCAAATATTGCATATGCAAATAGTTAATTAATTGTTAAAGGATATTTACATTGACCTGGTAAACTTGCATATGTGTGGTCAGTGCATCATCACTAGTCATCCTAATTTGAAGCATGGTTAAAATGTTTTTAAGATTCCTTTTTATAACTGCAGTATAAACACATTTATTTCTTTGCTCAGGCCCTGAAGAGGACTTGCCAAGAAAAATGGAATACCTGGAGTTTATGTCATGCCCCATCAGAGTTTTCAAATCAAGAAGTTGCCTTTTCCCTACAATACCAGTTCGTCCAGAAAAAGGCTACAATTGGACCGACACCTGCTGTTGGCATCTAAGAAACTGTTGGGTGAAATTAACCACTAAATTACTGCACATTCAGACTCAAGTTTTTTTTTATTAACAGGAATTTTCAGTACAATTTTAAAAACAGAAGTGTCATGCTTTGATTAGAATGTGTGATATTTGTCATTGAACATAAAACATTTTCTACAGTCACATTTCTAACACAAATGTACAAAATATTCCAGAACTCTCAGAGTTTGACAGTTAAATGCAGAAGTTGCGGTAGTACGACATAGAAGTCTACAAACTGAAAACAGAAACTGTAAATACAAAGTTAATTTGCAACAATTTGTTATGATCGGTTAATTTGTACACAGTATTTTTTCTGATCTTCCAGTTCTGTGAGAAATGGGTCATCTTGAGCTCAGGTTGCTTGTTCACCAGCTTTCAGTATCTTGCTCTTGTTGAGATGTGGTGAGTCTGTGCTGGTGTCCAAAAGATGTGCCTGAAACAGAATCCAACCCTTGATTTCATTTTAGCTGATGGTTGAAGTGAGCAGGTATGTACAGTATTTTTGGCTATATTTCATTGATTAAAGAATAATCTGTTCAATTAAAAGATCATTTCTGGAACTCACATTGCTTAAATTGATGATAGTGGAGATTATGTCTCCAGTGGCCATCTCAATGTTGACCATGTTCTCCAAGGAGGCAGTTTCCTTGAGCTGCGTAATCTCCTGATCATGCTGCTTAATCTCCTCCACTGTAGCCCTGCAAGACACTGAAGATGCTACTACATTTGACTGAATATGTCTGTATCCACAAATGTACCTGGAAAGAACCTGAGGAAATTGTGTTTTCGGTTTTTTTTCTACGTACTTTTGTAGCTCTCGTTTAATGGTGAAGTATTCATCCATGTTTCTTTGTATCGCTAACATGACGATGACTAAATTTTCGTAGTTCTCTACAGTCAGGTTCTCTGTATAGCCACTCCTTAATGGCTTTTGATGCTTGATCTTGTTTATTTTCTTAACCACCACTTCCACATGGATCATGTCCGCAGCTTCGAGTTTGGCATCCAGTGGCGAGTCCTGTTTGTGTTAAAACATGAAAGATTTTCATGGAGCAATAGAAGTGTAACTTAAAAATAAAATGGAGTAAATTATTAGTTTAATAAACAGACATTTAAAAGTTAATTGTTGAAAAATAATTTTTAATGTAACAGAAAAATTATTTTAAAAAGAGACTTAAAACTGAACAAATATGTGCTCCAGCAAAATATTTATTTGATCCCCTGTTGATTTTGTACGCTTGCCCACTTATGAAGAAATTCCATTCCAAGAAATGAAGGGTCTGTCATTTTTATGGTAGGTTTATTTTAACGGATAGAGACAGAATATCAACCAAAAAATCCAGAAAAAACACATTATTTAAAGGTTAGAAATTGATTTGCATTTCAGTGAGTGAAATAAGTATTTGATCCCCTACCAACCAGCAAGAATTCTGGCTCCCACAGACTGGTTATGTGCCCATGTGGAACACAGATTAGTCCTGCCACTTTAAGAAGTTACTCCTAATGTCAGCTCGTTAGGTGTATAAGACACCAGTCCACACAATTTGTATCTTCCATTCCAACCTCTCCCACCACCATGGGCAAGACCAAAGAGCTGTCAAAGGATGTCAGAGACAATATTGTATATCTGCACAAGGCTTGAATGGGCTACAAGACCATCAGCAAGAAGCTTGGTGAGAAGGACACAACTGTTGGTGCGATTATTCGGAAATGGAAGAAATACAAAACAACCATCAATTGGCCTCGGTCTGGAGCGCTGTGCAAGATCTTGCCTCATGGGGTAAGGATGATCATGAGATAGGTGAGGGATCAGCCCCGAACTACAAGGGAGGAGCTTGTTAATGATCTTAAGACAGTTGGGACCACAGTCACTAAGCAAACCATTGGTAACACACTATGCCGCAATGGACTGAAATCCTGCAGCGCCTGCAAGGTCCCCCTGCTCAAGAAAGCACATGTACAGGCCCGTTTAAAATTTGCCAATGAACATCTAAATGATTGAGAGAAGGCTTGAGAGAAAGTGCTGTGGTCAGATGAGACCACAATGGAGCTCTTTGGCATTAACTCGACTCGCTGTGTGAGGGAGAGAAATGCTGACTATGACCCCAAGAACACCATCCCTACAGTCAAGCACAGAGGTGGAAACATTATGCTTTGGGGCTGTTTTTCTGCTAAGGGTACAGGACGACTTCACCACATTGAGGGGCAAATGGACGGGGCCATGTACTGTAAAATCTTGGACGAGAACCTC